CCTTGTGAGAGTCAGCGTATGGTATTAGACAAATGGCAGGGCTGTGCCACCTACCAGGGTTGACCTTGGTCAAATCCTTTAGTGTTTTGGCTCTCTTTACTCTTCTCTGATGGGAATAATAAATACTGCATCACATTACTGTGCTGTTAATTCTTCAATAACTAAATAAGGTGATTCATGTGAAAACATTTTATTAAATTATAAAATGCTGTTCATATATAAAGTATAGGCTGAGTATCCCTTATCCGAAATGCTTGGGATCAGTAATGTTTCAGATTTCTGATGTTTGGGATTTTAAAATATATTCAATATATTCGTGTTTCAACTCTACCTAAACAAAGCTTAGCTACCTAAACTTATTAGCCATAGAGCCATGATATTTGTTCCTCAGTTTCCTCATTTGAAAAGTTGGGATAATGAGAATGCCTGCACTTAAATGTCTACTTAAGGTTGGGTGCAGTGGCCTTTGGAGAACCGAAATGCTCCAAAATCTGAAAACATGATGCTCAAAGGAAATACTCACAGGAACATTTTTTTTTTTTTTTTTTTTTTTTTTTTTTGGAGATGGAGTCTCACTCTGTCACCTGGGTTGGAGTGCAGTGGTGCGATGTTGGTTCTCTGCAACCTCTGCCTTTTGGGTTCAAGTGAGTTCAAGTGATTCTCCTGCCTCAGCCCCCCGAGTTGCTGGGATTACAGACATGGGTCACCACGCCCAGCTAATTATTGTATTTTTAGTAGAGATGGGGTTTCACCATGTTGGCTAGGCTGGTCTCGAACTCCCAAACTCCTGTGATCCACCCACCTTGGCCTCCCAAAGTGCTGGGATTATAGGCGTGAGCCACCATGCCCAGCCTGGAACATTTTTTATTTCAGATTTTTAGATCTGAGATACTCAACCTGTATTATTGTGAGCTTTTGATTATGCAACTTATAGGTAACTGGTTGTGATTTTTTTATTACTTTCTTAGTTTGCCTTTCTGCCATATCCGAACTGCCCCGCTGGGATGTGATAAGGGTACCCAAGTGTATTTTAATAGTCTAAACCAAATGTAATAAGGACAATTGTTCTGTTAACAATACTATTACATTGCAATGAAAAAAAATGTTTATAATATTTAATATTTCATTACCATGTTATGTCCCCTATAAGTGTCTTTTTCCTTATAGATTACAGAAATATAGGGACATTATTGGATTGTAACATTCTACATTGTAAATAGAAAATGTGTTCTATGATTTTTGTAGTTTAAAAGAAAAGATAATTTAAACATTAGAATTGAATACAAGTTCATAATTCTTAGTTATGGCATTAACATTTTTTGGCATGCAACAAATTTATTTCTCTCTATTTTGTGATGTAATTTTAAAAAGCTTGGCAATACATACATATGCTCTCTGATCCATGCCTTTTCTAATTAAACAATGCAATGCAAAGGTATTGCATATGATTCAGAAATGGCTGAACAGATATCTTATTTTTCAAAATAGTAGCATAACTATATATTGTATCTATTTTATGAACTCTTGGAAAATATAGAGGAAAATTTACTAGTCATTTTTACCTGTTTCTTTCTTTGATACAGAATAAAATTTTCCTTAATTGAATTTGTCATTTACTCTAACCACAGGATATAGCTTATGACATTAAGTTTGACAAAGGATAACGATGAAATCACTTTAAGGAAATATATAAACAGATTTATAGAGGCTGAATGCACAGTAAAAATAGTTTGGAAATTAAAAGTGTAGAGAGAAAAGGAGACAAACTAGTTTCAAAAACTTTTGGAAATGAACAATGACAGCTATGCCAGAGTTCAGGATATTGGACTAGACTAAAAAACAAGAGATCCTGAAAAAGGCCCTCACACAGTTGTCATCATGCAATTCATTTATTTATTATCTTATTACAGAGAGGAGGGAAGAGAGTATTTTAGGCCTGTGTTTTTAGATCATTGCAGGCTGTTTCATAGCAACAAATGTTTTTTGCCAGTATAACCCACAATACCACCCATATCCTTTTTCTTCTTTTGCTCTCCAGTTTTACATTTAATGGGTTAGAGATATAAATTGCTTATAAATTTTACTTTCCTCCCCACCTATTAAAATATACAGACATTATGCAGATAATGCATTGCAATATGATTTTATATAGTGAATGCAGATTCTATTTCACCACTTTTTCTTTCTACAACATGCTTTAAATATCAAGAAGCAAAATTATTCAATGTTATTTGGATTATGTGTTTAATTCAAGAGCTATTCACTGAGTATTTATTATGTGGTTATGCAGGATGTAGTAGTGTGCTTGTTTCTTGTATTCATGTAATTTGATTATTTATTCAGTGTAGGGAAGCTTCTAGAATCAGAATTAAATGATAGGTAATGACTGGCCAATCCTTAGTGTTACTAAGCTTTTCAATGACAAATTATGTTGTCTTGCCAGTTTTTGTTATGGGAATATGATTTGTATGCACTTGTTTCAACTTAAATTATAGGACTATTTTACTTCAGTCTTGAAAATATCAAATAAATGATAAATGAGCTACAGCCAGTCATGACATGGGCAAGATCATAATAATTTTCTCCAAAGCACAACAGCCTAATAAATCTTCATTTTGAGTAACCAGCAATCAACAGAGGCAAGCTTTACTTATTGTACAGCTTATGCCAGTGTCTCTGATATTAAACAGGACCGGAGAATCAAAACCAAAATTTTACTAAATGGCAGTTGAGTTAATAGAGGTTAAAACTCTTCAAAAAATAAAAATTTCCATTAAAGTGTAAGATAATATTTGAAGAATATAACAGATACCATTGCCAATACTTTTTTGTCACACAGCCTTCCTTCCTCATTAAATATTTGTTGAAGAGATAAATAAAACTCACAAAGAAGTTAGGATAGTTCCACTCAAAAATAAGATTGTGTATGAGTTTTATGTGAAAGAAGACTAAATTTCCATGAGCGTGCATTTCTGTGTTTTAGAATGTAAAACTCTCTCTGTGTGTGTATTTATCAGAAATATATCTCTATCTAAGGCTATTTCAAGGAACAAAATTAGTTCTGAAAACTTCTTTGTAGGCTAGTAGTTGAAAAATACCAACTCTAGTATGACTTTCTATCCCCAACCTCAGCCTTCATTATAATGGGCCTCAAATCTACACGTTGGAGACTATCAATTATGCAATTTGTTAAGGTGCTTAGTTATGCTTCTTCTAGTTGTCAGTCTGAACACAGGTTTATTATTATTCTGGTATAAGCATGAAGTGCATCTCAGATAAGGCTTGAGATGCCTGTATTAGCCTATTTGAGACATATGGTCCAGTAAACCCTGGAGTTACTCAATAAAGATTAATTGAGGATGATGATAAATTATGACAATATAATAGAGTTTTTAAAAGCATCCAAGAAATATCATTAAAAATAATATTTGTAGAGAGGGAGGGAGGGGGGCAAGGGTTGAAAAATTTACTATTAGGTACTATGCTCACTACCTGGGTAATGGGATCAATCGTACCCCAAACCTCAGCATCACATTATATATCCATGTAACAAACCTGTACATGTACCCCTGATTCTAAAATAAAAGTTGAAATTATTTAAAACATAATAATATTTATTAGTGAGATGAAGGATCTAAAATTTGATAACCTTATTTGCAACTTTCTAAGCAGAACTTTTGATATATGCCAGTTTTTCCTTGGTGAGATTGAGGAATATCACTGCTCAGTATCACTTTGCAACATGATATTGAGGCTTCAAAAAAGTCGTTGGAGAGAAACGAGTGTGGATTTGACAATAACTGGAAACATGCAAGCTTAGATCAAAGTATAAAGATATCACCCAAATGTAATTATCCCAACCAGTATTTCTCACTTGTCTTTGAAATCTTACTAGAGTTTTACATTTATTTATTGTGCATAATATCTGAGTTCATCTCTTCCACTGAAATTGCTTTAGTTTTATATCACTTGAAATCTGTGATTTTTTGAAGTTTGTGTTGTGAACTATTCTTCCCTGACATTCTCCTCTTTTTTCTTATTGGTCCCTCTTTTCATGTTAGAATATAGCACATTGTCTTTGGTGAAACAAAATGTTTATAAGATAAAGAGATGCTGCTTGCTGAGTTTATGAATATGTTAACAATTTTCCAAATTTTTTACTGACTTATATTGGTCAATACCTTAAAAATAATTATGGAATTTAATTTGAAATGTATAAACATAACATGTTTGAGGATCTCTATTTTTATAAGTGTATGTTGACTCTGTTAAGAGTTTCAGAAATGACCAGAGCCAGTGGCTCATTATTTTTCTAAACCTTCTGATAACATATTTTTCTGAAACACAATATTTTTTCCACAGTAATATCAAATATTACTGAGTGGCAGGGAGAAAAGTTTCTTCAATAAGGATTCCAAATCAATTTATTTAGGGTAAGAGCATTCCACATTAATGTGTAGTCGCATGATGTGCATTTCTCATAAGAGTGACAAGCTACAGGAAATCTTAGGCCTTAGGAAATGAGTTGCCGAGTAGTTCTTCTGAACAAATTCTTTGAAATGCATAGAAAACATAACTATTATGTGAAATAGTGGTATAGACTATAATATTTATAAGTGAGACTAGTCAAACTATTTGAAAGCTTTCTTTGTGTAACTATTGACCTGCCTTTCAAATGGAAATATTTGTGTTCTTACTATGAATATTGCATTTCCTATGTCTGTAATTTGGAATGGTGTGTTTATTTAATCATAGTTTGATTAATTTTTACCCTTTTTGTCAAAGTTTATAATATATTTTAAAGAATATAATATTATTTTTAAATAACTGTATTAGAGAGATGAGTTTATTAAAACATATAATGTTCAATAAAGCAAGTATGAGTGAAATAAATTATTACTTTCAGTTTGGAAGAGGTGAATAAAAAGTGCTTGGCCAATACCGTACCATTAATCTATTCTCTTTTCTCCTTTCTCTCTTTACTTCTCTCTCTCCAATAGAAGTGGAACAAAAAGGTAATTAAATACCTTTCATAAATTATATACTATTTATAGGCTAAGTTATTTAACAGTTTAACATTTAGTTAAAATAATTTTGTTATTAATTCTTATCTATTTTATGAAAATTTATCTACTACTTCTGCTGCTCAACTTCACTTTAATCTGTATTACTGACAAGTGTCAGCTTCTTTTATCTAAGAAGAGTTTAGTAGTATAAAAGTTTCCACAGTGTATTTTATTCCCCTTTATTTTTGAGTAGTTAGAAATCCAACTCATGGTGATGAATAGTAGTTACTTTAATTTGTTTTTGTTTCTATACTAGACAATTTTTCATAGCTCTGGCATGGTTTCCCTATTCCATTAATTTTTAACTATTGGGGGAAAAGGGAAATAGTTTTCCGAACCACCTAAAGTAAATTACTTTAATCATCAAGGATGATTATTAATTTTAGCATAAAGCTTATATACAGTTTTGATAACAATGGATACCTATCCTTTATAATTATAGCAAGCATATGAAATTCTTATAATCAATATTATTATGGATTGTATATTGATGATGGCCCTCTGTCCTTGCTATGGAAGATTTTGGTAGTTAGCCTGTTCCCAAACTTCTTATTTCTCTAAAAGTAAAACTTTAGGCATTTTAGTAATGTACTTTTCTTTTCGATAATCTCCAAAATCTACCCGAGTTTCATCTTAGATTGTTTTCCATTGCATCTATGCTTATAGTTGCTGTTTAAAAGCTAATCACTAATGCCAAAATAATACTACTTTAATCATTTAAAAAAGGGTCAAAGTCCAAATTACGGTGATTTTCTAATTTTTTCACCCAGTACACTTCTAATCATTCCAAACATAACAGTAGACTGCATGATTATTTTTCAGTGTATTTGCTTTGCAAATATATTAGAGCAGTGTTTCCCATAGTAGGTTCAGTGGAACTCTATACTCCAAAGAAGCTCTATAATAAAGGTGCCATGATCCAATTAGTGTGTGAAATTTGCTCACCCTTCCCACTTCTGCCTTGGAGATTCACGAATGTACCTATGCTATTAGAATCTCTGCTACAGTTATATTTAATATAACATTTCTTAAACACATGTGGGTAAGGATCCCTTTTTTCTTTCTGTGTAACATCTAGCTATGCCACTTGAAACATGTGATTCAAGGACCAACCTTTGGGAAACATTGCTTTATAGCCCCTTCACTGCAGATGAATCAGCCAGGCTTTCTTACCACCATTCACATGATATGCTACTGAATCATACAAAAATCCAGTGAATCAGATGATTCCTAGCCATTTTCATTCTGAAGTATGAGCAGCAAAATATTATAGCAAGTAATCTTGGGTTTTAATGCTCTTTCCATGTAACAGTAAAAGGTACATGTTTTTAAGTTCCAATACTACTGTATTTAACAGGACATTTTTAACTGATTAAAATCTAGATCTTGGGTTCTTTTCTGTAACCTTTCACCTTTTCTTCTTTCCTTATTCCTTCTTTCCTTTCTTTTTCTTCCTTTCTCTTTTCCTTCCAGTATCCATCCATCACTCATTTTTAATTGTGTGGGTTGCATGCTCTGTGTGTGTTGTAGCAACTTTGAGAGCTTTTTTGCTAAAAGATTCAGTGGCCTGTATTACAGGGCTTTTCTTTTCCTTTATTAAAAAATTACTATGGGATACTCATCTGTTTCTTAATGATAACTACTGAATGGCTAATTTCATCAGAATGGAAACAATAATTTTTGTTTTGAAATATGTTCTTCAGTGAACTATTAAAAGTATTGTGTATAGACATTTGTGTTTCTTATATGTCTATAGAATACGTAGACATATGTCACACCTAATATATATTTCCAAAAATATTGTAGCGTGTTTACAAAGGTAACAATCACAGGAAGGCACAGCTACTCACAAAAAGGCTAGATATTTTTCAGTTATCGAAATCAAAATGATTTTGAAATGAAGCCAAAATTAATGTGGAAGAATACTTTGTGTTCTTAAAAGAATGCAGCAAAATAAGTGATGGTGGGTATCTCCTGTTAGAGTTGCATTCCATTTGGTGAAAAATAAGACTAAATAACAAAATATGAAATTAATGTATTTATTTATTTTAACTGTTTCCCTTCCAACAGTTTTTCTTTGTCCTGGACTACTAAAAGGAGTATACCAGAGTGAACATTTGTTTGAGTCTGACCACCAATCTGGGGCGTGGTGCAAAGACCCTCTGCAGGCATCTGACAAGATTTATTATATGCCCTGGACTCCCTACAGAACTGATACCCTGACTGAGTATTCATCCAAGGATGACTTCATTGCTGGAAGACCAACTACAACCTACAAGCTCCCTCATAGGGTGGATGGCACAGGATTTGTAGTGTATGATGGAGCTTTGTTCTTCAACAAAGAGCGCACCAGGAACATAGTAAAGTTTGATTTGCGGACTAGGATAAAGAGTGGAGAGGCTATCATAGCAAATGCCAATTACCATGATACCTCCCCTTACCGATGGGGAGGCAAATCTGACATAGACCTGGCAGTAGATGAGAATGGGCTATGGGTAATCTATGCAACAGAACAAAACAACGGTAAAATTGTCATTAGTCAGTTGAACCCTTACACCCTACGGATCGAAGGAACATGGGATACTGCATATGATAAAAGGTCAGCTTCCAATGCCTTTATGATTTGTGGAATTCTGTATGTGGTCAAATCTGTATATGAGGATGATGACAATGAGGCCACTGGAAATAAGATTGACTACATTTACAACACTGACCAAAGCAAGGATAGTTTGGTGGATGTACCCTTTCCCAATTCATACCAGTACATTGCAGCTGTGGATTACAACCCCAGGGACAACCTGCTTTATGTATGGAATAACTATCATGTCGTGAAATATTCTTTGGATTTTGGACCGCTGGATAGTAGATCAGGTAAGTTCAACCTTTTATGGTACTCTTTGGGGAAATATTTACAGTTTGTTCTCAGCAAGTTCATTTTATGTTGGTTTTTTGTTTGTTTGTTTGTTTTTGTTTTTGTTTTTTTTAACTTCCTTTGTGGTCTTCTGGTCTGTGTACCTGAAAATTGTTCTTTGTCTTTGCATCTAAAGAAGGTTGCTGCTGATCACTTTCAGCTGTAAAAATTTGTAACTACGAAAAGTAGACTCTCCTTTGTTCTGCTCAACTCCAGTCTTTAGCTCTTCTTCTTTGAAAGGTGTTTGTTATTTTCAGCAGGTTAGTTCTTTGTGTAGTGAACTGCACAAAACCATTGCTGAAATAGAATGCCAGCCTGTCTAATTAATTGTGAAATGCCCACTGAAGTGCTGTCTACTTGGAACATGTCAAAGGGTTAACTTGATATTATGTTTCAGGAGCCTGCACCAATGTATTCACCTCACAGAGAGCATCATATATGACCTCCCCTTTTGGGAAAGTTGTCAGTTTGAGTGTGCCTGTGTCTGAATGAACTTAATTGGTATATTGAGAAAAATGTTCATAACTGATAAGTACAGGAAAAAATATCTTGATTTTTATAAGACATTGGAATTTTTTATAGTTTTAATTGCAATTCTTTACAAGCGCCCTTTTTCCATTAAAAACATACCATTTCCTTTCAATGTTGTTTAAAGACAATCATAAATAGCTTTAATTTTTTTCATTTTTATGTACTCAACACAATTATCTTAATTTAAAGGTTAAAATTTTTAGCTAGCATATTAGTCCATTCTCACACTGCTATGAAGACGTAAACAAGACTGGATAATTTATAAAAGAAAGAGGTTTACTTGATTCACAGTTCTGCATGTCTGAGGAAGCCTCAGGAAACTTACAATCATAGCAGAAGGTGAGAGAGAAGCAAAGGCGTGTCTTACATGGCAGCAGGCAAAAGAGAATGAACAAGCGAAAGGGGAAGACTCTGTTATAAAGCGCTCAGATTTCATGAGAACTTACTCACTATCACAAGAACAGCACAGGGAAAACTGCCCCCATGATTCAATCACCTCCCACCAGGTCCTGCCCTCCACATGTGGGGATACGGGGATTACAATTCAAGATGAGATTTGGGTACGGATCCAGAGCCAAACCATATCAACTAGTCATAATAGTCTTCCCCAAGATAAAGTATAATGGAAAACTAAGATAGGGGTGTCTGAATTTTGACAGTAATATAGCAATTCAAAAATTAAATTATTTTTGCCATTCAGCTTTAAAAATGTGTCACTACAAGGAATTGACTTTCCTTTGTTTTGCTCAACTCCAATTTTTAGCACTCCTTCTTTGAAGGGCATTTGTCATTTTCAGCAGGTTAGTTCTTTATATAGTAACGTGCACAAAACCTTTGCTAAAATAAAATGTAATCCTGTTAATATTTCATATTTTCTGCATTATGTGTTGCACTACTCTTTTATTAGCACGACATTCCTCTTAGTCCAGTATATGCATATCTTTTTACTGAACTAGATCCTAAGTTTTTTATGGTCAATGGCTTTGCCTTACCCTTTCTTTGATTGTATTTTTCTCTTACCATTATTTCTGTCTTCTCTGACTCTAGTATAATACATTGCATATATATAATAAGGCTCAATCACTCTTGTGGAATGAATGAATGAATGAATGAATGAATGAATGGCTTTTCACTTCTTATTCAGATAGGATGACAAATTATTTTTTAGTATTTTCTCTAATCATGGAGAGGCTTCAGTCAGAGTGACAGCACTTGTTTCCACAATCAGCAATGCTGATATTATGTTGAATTGGCTTTTACGGAAAGAAAAGACTAAATATGCAATAGCAACAAAAGCAATTTCACGTAAGTCCTCAACAACATCTCCTAGACCAACTCTATTATCTGACTCACCGCTGTACAGGTAAGGTTTTTTGTTTGTTTTTTAAACCACTGCATTCTACAGTTTAAAACCCGATCAATAATCCATTATCTAGAGTATCTGGGAAGACACTCCTTTCATAGTCATGATATTCTTAAACTAAAATTTATATTTGGTAGTGAAAACTTTGTTATGGATGGTTCTTAGACTTTTTTGACTCTTAACTAGAACAGGAAGTGATTTCTAATATCTCAAAGGAATAATAAATAATAACACTTTTTTTAGTTAATCAGTGAATAAGAGGCAATAACATAATTCAAATTTTATTTATTTAAAAGATCATACCTTATTTTTATTTAGAGTAACAGATAGGTTATAATTAATTACCATTTCAGGTTCTGATATGATAAACTAAAGCAAGTTCTTAACTCGGTTTTATTAAATTATCCTTAAAGAATAAGATGGTACCATAATCCCATGTGTTTAAAAACTTGCCAAAAATATTTTTAGCATCCACACAATTTTAGCATATAATAAACATATGAATATATATACTCATGCACTTAGATGACTATGCTTTTTGTGTGTACTATATATATGTATACATGTATAGCACATGTGTATTAGTATACATATTCATATGGTGGTTATATGTTTATATATTAATATATTCATGTATCCCCCTCCATATATATATACATATCCCCATCTATATATATGTACATATCCCCCTCCATATATGTGTACATATATATGGAGGGGGTAAGAGAATGAGTTATTGTAATTGTGAACATAAGGAAAATTACACCTTCATTTAATTTTTTAAAATGTATTTGTTTGTCTGTTTATGGGAGTTAAAATATGGGCCGTCTCTCCCTCATGTACTAGTGCCCATTATTTGTTAAAAGGATGCTATTGAAGTCGGGGCGAGGTGGCTTTCACCTGTAATCCCAGCACTTTGGGAGGGCGAGATGGGCGGATCACTTGAAGTCAGGAGTTCAAAAACCTAGCCTGGCCAACATGATGAAACTCCGTCTCCACTAAAAATACAAAAAAAATAGCCTGGCAAGCTGGTGGGCGCCTGTAATCCCAGCTTCTAGGGAGGCTGAGGCAGGAGAATCGCTTGAACCTGGGAGGCGGAGGTTGCAGGGAGCGGAGGTTGTGCCACTGCCCTCCAGCCTGGGTGACAAAGCGAGATTCCATCTCAAAAAATAAATAAATAAATAAATAAAAGGATGCTATTGAAGTAGCAAACATTAAGAAGTGATAGACTTCAGCTTTTAAAATGAATTCCTAACTTAAGTCAGGAGATTGAATTTTCATTCCTTTTGAACAATGACAATTAAGACTTTGTCTGTTTTACAAATAGTGAAATTTCACCCTTTAAATTTGTCAATATAATCACAAAAAAACTATCAATTTTCATGCATGAATGCTCAAATTGAAAAGCTAGTGCTTTAGTGTGGACTTATTGCAGTTTAGGGGTGGAAAGAATATGTATAGAAATAAATTTTATGCATGATGTGTGCTGATAGGAAAATTTCAATTAACGTTAATAGAGCCTTTTCTTATTTCATACAAACAGTTTCAGCTGGGTATTTTTGTTTAGTAAGTTACAGTGACTTTTTTTTCCCCCCCAAAGAAATTGCCTTTAGTGAATTTTTATTGCCATTTTATTTTGGGTCCTATGTGTCTATGTACAGAAACCCTCAACTTATTACAGATATGTTAGAGTCAAAAACTAATCCTAAATCTATCAACCCAAAGTGTATTTGTCATTACCATCTGTTGGTAGCACGCTAAATCTTTTGCGATGATTTTAACTGTATTCTAATCAATGAAAATTCATTCTTTTGAAGTTTTTATGTAAAGGGGTTTCTATGTTTTATGTCTCTTGTAAAAAGATCTGGCGTTGAAAACTAAAAGGCAAATATGCTTCACTTGGGTATATAAAGATCCTCTGGTGACACTTGGTGATGCTTACACATAGGTAGCATAGGCTTCTGAACATGAGCTTGGAAATCAGAAGGATGTAGGTTTGAATTCTCTCTGTCTCTTGTTTGACTCTGGGCAGGTTGTTCAGTCTTCAATCTTGATTTCCTCAGACTATAAAATGGAAAAAATAACTCCAACCTCACAAGACTATTGTTTTCTTTTAATGAGAAAATGTATGTAATAGGCACAATACAGTAACAACCTAATAAATTTGCATCAACCCTACAAGGACCATTTTTATCCATGTTTTCTAAATGAAGGCCCTTTTAAAGTACTTCAGTTCATATAACTTATTCCAAAATTGCCCAGATGTTAGCACCTCTAGATACAAGCATCATTTGTAGTTTGTATTGCAAGTTAAACATGATGTATTTGTACTCTAAAAATTGTATCTACTCTTCAACCATGAAATCAAATGATTTGTTTTTATAAGGGTCTTTTTTTTTTCAGTCTTTTTATCATTCTTTTTTTTTTTTCTTATTACTTCCATAAGTTTTTGAGGAACAGGTGGTATTTGTTTATATGAGTAAGTTTTTTAGTGGTCATTTGTGAGATTTTGGTACACCCTTCACCCAAGCAGTATACACTGAACCCAATTTGTAGTCTTTTATCCCTCATCCCCTCCCACACTTTCCTCCAAGTCCCCAAAGTCCACTGTATCATTCTTATGCCTTTGCATAGGCATAAGGTCCCACTTGTGAGAACGTATGTTTCCCATTCCCGAGTTACTTCACTTAGAATAATAGTCTCCAAGTCCATCCATGTTGCTAAGAATGCCATTAATTCATTCTTTTTTTATGCCTGAGTAGTGTTCCATTCTATATATTTATATCACAGTTTTTTTTTTAATCCACTCATTGATTGATGGGCATTTGAGCTATTTCCATACTTTGCAATTGTGAATTGTGCTGCTATAAACATATGTGTGCAAGTATCTTTTTTGTGTAATGACCTCTCTTCCTCTGGGTAGGTATCCAGTAGTGGAATTGCAGGGTCAAATGGTAGTTCTACCTTTAGTTCTTTAAGGAATCTCTACACTGTTTTCCATAGTGGCTGTACTAGTTTGTATTCTACAGGGGTCATTTTTAAAGTCTGAAATGGTAACCTTGGAGG